CGTTTTTCATTTCTCTGATCTAGGGGCTTTTTAGCTGACATTTTGAGATTTTTTTTTCTCTTGTTTTGATCCGAATTTTTCATGTCTTGTATTTAATATAAATACTACAATCAGTTTCTTGAACAAAGAACAATATCTAATTTTATTTGAATTTATAAAAGGAAAAAAATGAAAAAGATGGATATTGATTCGTATTACTTGTTGGGACTAGCTCAATCAGTGCACTACAATTTCTTGTTTCTCTTTTTTTTTTTTGGGGGGGGGGGGGGAGGGAATTGGGACAAGTAATTCTATGGGATCCTTTTTTACTTTTTTTTTTAATGTTTTGTTTAATTGTCTTCCGCACTAAATAAAAGAAGGGATAAATTCTCAGACTCGGGTAACTGAATCCGATGTTTGAAGTGTTCATCACATCTGGAGGGGTTATATTGTCCTAAAATGTTCCAATTTGAGGTATCCTATGTTTCCACTTTTATCAAAAAAATTGAAGCATGGTATGGATTTTTTTCCACCGAGAATGCTCAAGATAGAGGACATGATAATTAAAGTAGTAATTACACCAAAAAAAACTGAGAAGTGAGAAAATTATGTTGACTTAGTTTCAGATTAAATGGCCCAACAAATGCAAAATGTTGCTTCCATGGTGAAACGAAATTGCATTTTAACTTACTAATGCTTTAAAAATCTATGATAACATATTGTGCTTGATTGTCTATGTTGCTATTGTGATTTGTGGTCAATATGATTTGTATTCATAATTTTCCTGACCAATTGAAAGTATTGCCTTTTAGGCTTGAATTTGGTCTTTGTATGATGAATTTTTGGGTTACATCTGTTTCGATGTGCATGTACTTGCCAATTCTTATCATAATTCTTGAATTTTATATACGTTATTGTTATCTAATTTCTGTATAATTTCCTTTCTACCCAGAAACAAGCTGCCAAGAAGGATCTGTTTCAGTTGTTTGCTGAGAAAGTGAGGGACCATAAAGATTTGGTGTCGAAATGGGCTATCTTGCAGGAAACTCGTGTCGAATATTTTAGAGGGAGGGATTTTGTAAGCTTTATGAAAAATCATCCAGAGCTTAAAGAAATACTGGAGTTAGATAGAAATCTAGAAACTGAAGATATTGCCAATAGTTTGTTACAAAAAAATCTTTTGGTCCGCTGTGACCGAGTGGTGAAAACTGTTCGTCCGGGGAAGAAAAAGTTGTCTACCTGGCCTGCACATTTAGAAATTTTCCCTGTGAGTCTTTTACTTGTTTAACATTAAAAGATTTGATAAATCATTTACTGCATTCACTCTTAGGAGGTGTAGCTGCTTGAATTGATGATACACAAACTTGTATATATGTAATGTGTATGTGTGTGTGTGTGTGTGTGTGTGTGTGTTTATCTCGTTGATATATGTGAAGAGTTATCTTTCCACTAATCTAAATCCAGACCTAGACCCGTATAGCTACTGCGTTATGATGCACCTGACTGATTTTTTTTCTTTTCTTATCATTATTGGTTTTTCCTTTTTTTAGGAGAATTCTTAAGATTTATGCTTACTATTTGCAAATACCTTAGGTTAGATTTTACCCATGGTTTGTCCTATGATATCATCTGTTTGAACCTTTAAAAAAAACTTATTATGAGTTTTTTTGTTTTATGAGATGTCCTAGGGAATTGTTCCATTTTATTGAATCATTCCTCAAGCTTCTTGTATGCAACAAGGCTTAGTATCTTTGATGAGATCTCTTTTTGGTCTTAATTAAGATGACAACTTTTGTTTTATGCGGTCTTTGATGCTTTTCTGTGGCATACGGTGTTATATTTATAACCATTCACTATCATATACTTTCCTACAAAGTTCATTTTAAACAGTCATTTTCTGCAACTCCCTCCCCCTAAGTTCAGAGCCTTTTATGTTCTGGTGCCTTTTTGTTTCATATTAACTTTTGAAGTAATATACATTTTTTTGGTTAAACTTTCATTATTCATTTTATTTCGTAACTTCTCTTAATTATTAACAAAAAACCACTATGCCTTTCATGATCTGTAACCAAAGCAGAAAGGTTGTGATTATTTGAATAGACAAAAAGAAGACTGTTTTCATATAAAAATAGTGATTATTTGGGAACACAAAAGGAAGACTGCTTTCAGATAAAAACAAAGCCCCAAGATGCTTGCATTTTGGAATGCTAATATTGGCATTTCAAACAGCCTTTCATTTGTTCTTGCAGCTGGCTATGGTTATTTGGCTTATACTTTCTCTGTTGTATTATCCATGTTGGGATTATTTTCAGAATCAAATGTCTTTTTTTTTTTTTTTTTCAAAATGCCAGAGTCGAATGTCTTTTCAAAACTAATACCTTCTTTTTATGTGGATTTACCCATATTCTGACACTTTTTGCAGGAACAAGTGTTCTCTGAAAATGATGCCTTTTTTGCATGGACGTTTGTAAAACAGCGGCCATTATGGCAAACGCTTCTCTCATTTGTCTGGCCTGTGTTGACACTTGCAATTTGCTTGTTTCCTGTATATCCACATCGTTGCAAATTACTAATACTCTACTCATGCGCGGGAGTTCTTCTACTTATTCTATCCTTGCTTTTATGTAAGTTTTTCTGTTTCATTTTTTTCTGGATGTTATTTGATATTAATATGCATTGGATCCTTTATTTGGGTAATTTGGTCAGTTCTTTTACTATATTAGGTGCATTTTAATGCTATTAAAAAATAAATTTTCTTTAGTTTACCATTTTAAAGAAGAAATATAGTTGGATGATACTGGCTGAAGAGAGCAGTGGTTGTTAGTTTGATTTTGGGGTTGAGCAAGGGTATGCTATCCTTGTCATGGCCTTTTTCTGTCCATTCAGGGCTTTATTTGCTAACAAAAGATTACATTTAAAACCCTGTTTTAGTCACCGAATCCTGTTGTCATGTATGTTCTGCTAAGATTGTGGTGTTAGAGACATCATATCATCGCAGGTCCATTTCATGTTAGTGTAATTATTTACTCAGGTTTATTTTGGCTATGTAGAGATGAAACCAAACTTTTGGGCTAATGATGACAATTGACATAAGCATTTACATTGATACTATCACTTGGGTAACTGCTCATACAACATAAACATGGGTGTAGTTTCTATACTAGTTGGAGGATTTGATATGCCTGTCTTGCCAATAAACATCTGTCTTAAACACTGATAGTATAAAAAACATGAGAATTGGTAGAAAATATTCTCTGTTCTCTCTCTCACTCTCGTGTGTGTGTGTGTTACTGAAATAACAATAGCAATTGATATAACTTTGGTTGTTGGGAAACAATAGCAAAAATTCAAACTAGCTGTAACTCACTCTATGCAGGAAGAGGAAAAGTACTGTTATTGGTTCACTTTCCACTAAAGGTTCACGCTAAACTATATCACCAAAATAGTGATTTATCTCCAAATATGTCAGTCCAAAGTAAAACACTGAGCCAAAGATACATGTTGGACCTAGAACCCAATTTTCGATGAAATGTAGGGGAGAAGTTGAAGAGCATTGCTAAACCCCTTATGTTTGCACTCATTGTTGTTGGATTAAAAGAGGCAAGTGTTTTGAACCGCCTGACTGTGATCCTGGTTTGTATAAGGTTATATTTGCATAACCAATTTTAGTTAATAGTTTAAATCACCAATTCTATCTTTCTGTGTTTGGTCTGCTTTATACACTTTTGTTAATTGCATGTTTTGCTTTTTCCTTCTTACTATTTTCTTTGAAATTTGAAAATTTGCAGTGAGAGCAGCAATATTTGGTGCTGCATGGATCATTCTTGGAAAGCGTGTTTGGTTCTTCCCTAACATCCTTGCTGAGGAAGCAACACTGCAAGAATTATTCCGTTTTTGGCCCAAAAAAGATGAAGAAGAGCGACCGAAATGGACAGCAAGGCTGTTCTATGCAATAGTGTCTGTATTGGTCATATTGTTGCTGAGGCACCATGCCCCTGATGAGGCTGCTAGGGCAAGGTCAGTTCCAAATCTACTCTTGCTTAAATATTTACATCTGGGGTTTTTATGGTACTCAAGACCAGTGTTCTTGGAATCATTTGCCTTCATACATCTGAAGTTTTTATATTACTCTTGCAGATATCAGAAGCGGATGTCAAACATAATCGATGATGTCCTTGAATGGTCGCCAAGCCTCGCACTGTCCGGGATGATGGAGAAACAGACAGTAGTTAATGCCACAGAAAACACCAACAATATTTTAAATGAAAGCAAGGCAGCCTCAGAGACTGTAAGCTCTGCTGATGAAACAGGAAGTTTCGAGGAAATCGATCAACATCAGAATGATACCTTGTGATAGATGATGTTGGTAGATGGATTATAGTGCCTTTATTGGGTTTTGTCAAAAACAAAAAACGTGTAATATCAACTGATAAAAATAAGGCAGTTATTTATTAAATTTGTGCTTTTAAACGATAGGTTACAACGCTTAAAACTCTAGGGCATTCAAGTCATTCGAAGTTTTTAAGCATACATCCATTAAAAAGGTTGATGTGATTTTTATGTTGTCGTAACCTTCAGTGAAGTGATTCCGTATCTTCATTTATATCTTCGTTGCGTCATGTCCAGAATTTTCCGAGCCAAATAATCTGAATCGAGTGACACCATTCTTTGATATAAACTTAAAAGCGTCATATTTCCGTGTTTTACAGGCAATTGGAGGTTTGAAAATTCACAGGCTACGCTGCTTAATCCAGATTTGTAGAAGGAAATGTCTAGCTCAAAACGACACAAGGATCTGCTTGTTATGGAATCTTTCCCACAACTATAACTACTTTTTGAGTTTTATTCAACAGTTACCTGTACAAAAATGCAAGTTGGGAAAAATGATGTCATGTCCCATGCAGTCTCTTGTTCTCCCCTTCCATCCACAACCAAAGCACAAGAGGAAAGCCAAGAATGATTTGCCGCCTTGACGTTAAATTGCCAAGATGTGATAACGGACAATAGTTTGGATTTCAACCCTTCAGCTTTTGAAAGGGAGTTCTTCATTCACTGGGTAGCAAGAGGCCTATGTGAAGTCTGGTTAGAGGAGATGCTACCACCTCGTTTCTGATAAGGACCGCTGCCATTGACATGATGCGTGTCATGCAAACGGGTACCTCTTGCTTCTTGCTGGGTGAGTAAGGAGTTCCAGGTTTCAGCAGAATCAGCTGGCAATTGTTCTGAACCAGACGAACTTGCAGACTGAGATGATAGGGCAGGACCTGAACCTGTTCCTTTTTCTTCTGCCATGTGTTTAGAAGTATCAGCATCTGTTTTCTTAGCAAAACGTCCACCACTACCTCTTGCCCTCCGTATGGCATGCTGGTGCCTAGATTCATGAAGGTATGGCTGTAGGATATAGGATATGAGGTATTATAAGGATAGCGGTCAGATGGCATGCATATGGGAACCAAAGATGACAACACGTTAACAACAAAAAGAACAAGGTTCTTCCTAAATCAATATTCAAACTCATAATCACATAATCCGAGAGAAAAAAAAAAGGCATAAAATATTCGAAAAAGGTCTCTTGTTTAAACAGCAATAATCAATAGTGAGGTGTTCTTTTTGCAGACCGTATCCAGTTTTGTTTACCTTTCGGGCTTTTACAACCTTCTTCTCAAGTTCTGCTTTGGCACGGGCTTGCCTTCGCCTCAGAATTCCCTGGTACTGTTTGGCATTAACATAAACAGGTTCTTGTGCCATCTCAATCGGCAAAGCCATTCTTGCATGAGGCATTCCAACAAATGGAGGATAACCCTGGTCATTGCAAGCATTTAGTCATTAGAAAGTGTACCATGTTTTGACTATGAGGTATCAAAAGAAGGTTCTTAAATAAAGAATCTTACTGCAATGAATGTTCTTGCTTAAGAGAATCCTATCACAATATATAAAAAATAAACTAACAGAAGAAGAGCAGGTGACTTGGTGACTGAGGCCTGCTAACATAAATAAAATCATGCTTCAGTCAGATTTCCTCTTTCCCTTGCATCCCATGTCAACCCCAAAACACCAAGACCACAAAAAAAAAAAGGAAGAAAATGCGGGGGAAAAAGGCAAAACAATAGATTGAAAGAAACCACCAACTCATCAAGATAAGGAAATCCTTCCAAAGTACTAAGTAAGAACATGACAGACTTCTTGTTAGGTAGCCATTTTTCAATGTTTCACCACCCATTTCCTTTTTGTAGTTGGGAAGGAAATTTAATAGTTGGTATCATGGATCATTTATTCACTAACCATTAAGAATAGAAAGGAACTTGAAATTCAAAAGCATGTTTCTCTATTCATCTAATCAGTAAGCATCCAAAAGAAATCACTGTCCTCTAAAACTGTATTATGTTTGTATTATGTTTGAGAACTTCAAACATAATACAGTTTTCATTGGTTTCAGCAATATTGTTCTTTTCTTTTCTTTTTTTTTTCTTTCATTGTCTATAGCCCCTGCAATAGAGTTGGTTTGAAAATAACTTAAGAAATTAATGAAAGGTGAGAATTAAAAAAACAAAACCTAGCGTTTAAACATTCAAACCCAGCTAGCTACAGCAATGTTAAGCAAAAAACATGAGACCTTTGACCAAGCAGAGACTTGTCAAAAAGGCATACCGGGTTGTGTAAATCTTGTAAACTATCCCTTCACCACGTAAGAAAACACAGCATAAGATAAGAGCTTGCTAGAATATTTATCGAGGTTGTTTAGCTCTATTTGTTAAAAGGGAAAAAATTTCTTTAAATTCAGGAGTTCTTTAAGACTTTTTTTTTTTTTTTCATATTTGCTTCATTTTTAAAGCTGGAAGTGATATTTAACACAATTTATATCTCTCTAAAATTCATATCACCATAATGTCCTCTAATTTATTACAAAGTTTGATGTCTACCATTGTATGACAAGCATTTCTATTCTGAGATTCAACTGAATGACTATTACGCATAAGCATCATGTGTGTTCATAGGATTTTACGCTAGCAACGCAGAAAACTCTTCCAGAAAAAAGTATTAAACAAAAGCATAGCAATACATCCTAGGAATAACAGTTGAAACACATTGAACATGCCAGCAAAAGGAAGAAAACCAGTTTATTATACACCCTCAACAGAAAACCAGTGAGTTGCACTGCAGATGCCCAAATCTGAAAGTGAAAACTTGCTCTACAAATAATCTAATGAATTTCCAGTAGCTTTTAATGAATCTTAGCACATCAGCTAGCCTATTGAAGTATTTGACACGAACCACTTCCACATGCACTAGCTTGATCTTGTGCCATAATACCTTCACTAAAAAACCATAAAGACCATTCTTGGACAAATTTGTATAAAAAGATTAGACTCCTGTCTTTTCAGCTTCTTCCTCAAAGACAGGATTTAAACTGAAATGACCAAGTGATAAAGTTCATTTCTTCTGTCAAACTGTAGCATTATTAGTTACTCCCTAAAATATAAAGTAGATGAAGGAATAATCTCCTTTGGATCATAAGAAAGGATTTGACTCATCTAGGAGTAGAACAAGTGTACAAACATGTCAAAAAGTAAGCTAACTGCAAATCCTGTTGAATTTCTTTCCTACTCAAATCAAGGAAAATAATGAGACAAAAAGTCAAGTTTTTTCACGAATAAAAATGGATATGCCTTTGCATTTATTCAAATGAAACTTAGACTGCAAAAGTTTTATCAAGTGGAATGACATTAACATAGGCCATTCTTTTAGTTCTAACAAATTCATACTTTAATCACCGGCTAAAACTGCAATCTATTTTGAAGTATCAGTACAACTTCATGAGAATGATTTCATACAAAAGATAAAATACTAAGCCTATGTTTAGATTGAGGGAAGGCTACGAAAAGGAAAGGAAACAAAAGGAAATGGGGAATCCTTTCTTTTGTTTGTACATAACATAAGGGATGCTTAGCTCCCCTTGATTTCCCACAAATTCTTTAATTTTTTTTAATTACCCCAAATTGGGGAAAAGGAAGGTAAAGGAAAATAATAAATTTTTAAAATATAAAATGACTATCATATCCTTATAATTTCTCTAAATTGTAAAGTGTATGATTTTAAACTCCAAAACTAGATTGAGAATACAAAACATTATTTACCAATGAATAGATTGTCTTCAATTTTTTACTCCATAAATTTCATTGATGACTATTTTTATGAATGAATAAGGGAAAATTGAAAACATGAAATATATGAATACAAACATGTAAATGTTATAGTAAAAATGAAGGTGGCATATCAAAGGTGAAGTACAATTTTATACTTACATATAATTGTGATTTGACAAGATGTACTAATTTATTAACATTGCTTTAGTTGAACAAATTGATGACTATTTTTATTAATGAATTAGGGAAAATTGAAAACATAGAATACACGGACACAAACATGTAAATGTTATAGTAAAAACAAAAGTGACATATCAAAGGTGAAGAACAGTTTTATACTTGTATATAATTGTAATTTAACAAGATGTACTAATTTATTTATATTGCTTTAGTTGAACAAAACTACATATATCTATTGTTTTCTTCTTTTCTTTTGAAAAGGGGTAGAAACAAAGATAAGTATAAATTACCATGATCACAACTTTTACTTTGGTTTTAGAATCCTAGTGACAAACAAAGTTTTTTCAACTGCTTTAGAAAAAAGGAAATGTTACTATAACTGAATAATGATAAACTTTAATTAAAAAATAATTCTTTATGCATTATTTTTAAAAAATTTAATGAAAACAATATATTATATATATTTAAATAATATTTTTAATGTCTTTAATTAATATTTATAAACACTTATTAATAAAAATTTTAAAAATTAAAACAATTCCAAAGTTAATAATTTTATCGTTGTGCATTATTTTACAATTATATTCCGACAAAAGAAGTTTAATCTATATGTTACTTTATAAAAAGAAGGTAATAATTGGGGAAAAAAAAAATAATGAATCATTTCCTTTCCTTTCCATTATTTAACCAAACAATCGTTGTCAGGATTCATTTCCTTTCCTTCATTAATTTTAACTCTACAAACTAGGGATACATATATCATTTCCTTTCCTTTAAAAAACCTTCTCTTCGTTTACTTTTTTTTCCTTTCCTTTCTTTTATTAATATTTATCCAAACATAGTGTAAAAGAAATAAATCTACAAGCAGCAAAACTTCAATATAAAAATTAAATAGAAAGAGTACAAGGATCAAATTATAATATAAGAAAGCATCTTGACTTGATCATCTAGATAGAACAGACTAAGGTTCCATACCAAAGGTTGATGTCCGTATGCTGCCATCATTCCTCCATAAAACGGATCTTGATAAGGATTTGATGCACATGCCTGCAAAGGGATTGGAAGAAAGCTAGGAATCCTTCCATATCAAGTTCTGTAACTATGAGACCTCTAACTGCATATATCAGAAAATCTTAAGCCCGAGACACTTACAATTGAATGGCCAACAAGCTCAAGCAGAGGTTGCTGTGTGAGGCATTCGTCACGCATAGCAGGCATGGTAGATGTAAAATGCTGCAAATTGTGATGTTCTTGTCCACCATTTCCAACTGACAATGAACAGAGGAAAAATACCATTAGCACCCCATCATAAATCTGTTGGATGAAGGAGATAATCAGTAAGAGCCAGCAATGACCAACTTGCTACACAACTAAAGCTCCATAGTGGGCTGTTTATTCTAGAATAATATCTATTTTGAATAGCCTATAGATCTATGTTCAGTCTCGAAATTCATAAAACAATGAAGAATAAGGCCCACCAGTAAGCTTCTCAGTGAATGAGCCATTTATATTCATAACATTTTTTAGTAATTACTGCCTACAGATATTACTAGAATAATGATGTGATGTACCTGAACGAGAGGAAGCAGTAGTTTGGCTTTCTTTATTAACATCATTGTCTTCATTTAACCCATTAGATAGTGACTGCCCATCATTCGACTCTGAACCATTAGGGCCTTCCATTGAAGATGAATTAGATGCATTTCCTCCTCTTACACAAGGGGAGATGGCACCATAACCGATATTACGCCACCAAGGTTCAGCATAAACTGCAGTTGTAGGAACACCATGCGGATCAGGTTCTGATCGACTTCCACCTTCAGACTTAGACTGCATTCCTTCCAACACACTCAAATGCTAGTCAATTACTTATTCTCTGCTCCAAAAAATGAAGAAGATTGAACTTAATTCAAACATACAATCAAAAGAGGGTCTTTTATATAAATAGAAGATACAAAACAAGAGATTCTTTCTGACCCAAAAAATTACTACATTTACACAACGAAAAATTTGTCGCGGTCTAAACCCAGACCAAAAAAAAAAAACTTTTCAGCTCCAGCTCCAAACCAAAAGAAAAGTTGTATTTTTTAATGTTAAAGGTAAATGAAATCAACACCACTGCAAATACATTCCAATCAAGCCTAACATAAAATATATCAAACATACAAACAAGAATTTGTTCTTTGGAAACACAAATTCCTATTAGTCTGTGATATGATGGAATCAAAGAAAAAAATAAAAGAAGGCTATGAATTGCATTTAACAGAGAACAAGCAAAAAGTGCTTTACACTAGAAGTTACAGTCTTTCCATTAAGTAGATATAGAAAATGAAAACAGAACTTCATAAAAAGTAGCAAAAAGTTTCCAAATTTCACCAGAATAATAAAGCAAATTTAGTTTAAAAAGAGAAATGAAAGCAATAACCACAAGGTTTTGACTACACGCATAGACAAACCCCATAATTGATTAATTTTCTTGATAGAAAAATCAATATATTTTGTGTCCTTAACATGGCTATTAAAAGGAGGGTGAAGATATTAGAAAGTTCTGTTACAGTGCCATCTGCTTTTGCTACTAGTTCTATATTTAAATTTTGAAGGAGTAAACAAACCAGCATAAATGATCCAAAAATAAATCAGGGATGTTGAGTTTTATTACTAATGAAATCAAAACTCCTCAATCAATGTTCTTCTCTCACATTTTATCTCCACCACGTCTTTTCACTTTCCATGCTTTCCAAAATAGTAAAAAGTTACAAAATTATTAAGATGTCTCAACAAAGTTCTTTTCCTTGGTCTCTTTATAATCTCATCTAAGCTTTGCATTCTTCACTAATGTTTATAGAGTAGTTTCTCTCCCTAGTTTCTAACAATAATCCAAAACTCTCATTTCCTGTTCTGCATGGAATCGATCGTCTTAAATTCTTTAAAAGAAAATCCCATTTCTCGTCTTATCTTACAAAGCCCTAAATCCCCATAAAAGATCACCTCCATTCATCAAATTCAACAGTCAAAACCTCAAAAATTTTAAACCCCAAATACCAAATTATCTCCCCCCCCCCGCAAAAAAAAAAAAAACAAAAACACAAACTCAATAAAGAAACAAACAGAATTCAAACCAAAACAAAAACCCCAACTTCTCAAAACCCTAAAAGTACAAAACAGATTGCAATTTCACTTTAAAATTAAAAAAAAAAAAGGAAGAAACAACCGAAAACAACCAGAATTTTAAGAAAACAACTAAAAAAAGGAAACAGAAAAAACACACTTACCGGTTAACAGAAAATAACAAAAACAAAATCCCTAGATTTTGGCGACCTTTTTTTTTTTTTTCTTTTCTTTGATATAGAGAGAGTCAATCTAGTTTCTGTGCAGTTATCAGTAAACAGTAGCGAAGAGGAGCTTTGCCTATTTAAACTCTGAGAGTTAAGCTTTTGATCGCGTCACTGAGTTTTAGATTCCAGGTTTTATCCATCTACTGCTACTACCGACATGTGGACGTTTCAATTCCGTCATTTACTTTTTAATTTATCTTATCCTCTTTCTTTTTAGTTTTTATTTTTTATATAGAATTAAATAGATAATTAAACAGACAACGGCAAATTAATTTCATGTGCCACTGTTTTATATAAAAAATAATATTTTTTATTTAATTTTTTAATTCTCATATTATCTCTTATTATTTATACTTACATCTTTTATTAGTCTATCTTATATATATCCAAAATTCAAAAGTTAATTTTTCCTAACTGATACATAAAGAGACCTAGATTTCACATATTTAATCCTTTTCAAATCATCCTCTCTCATTTTTTTTTCTTAATTTGAATTATTTCTATTTTTTTTAATCTCTTTATTTTTAATTTTGTTTGTTTTAATTTTATCACACATCTATCTAAATATTTTTATCTCAATTATGATCATTTTCTTTTCATGTTGTTAGATAGATGGATTAAAAATATAAAAATTAAAATTCAGATTTTAATTTCGTTAATCTTATAGTTATTTTTAGTTATAACATCTAACAAATTTGAGTTTTAATTTTTAAATTTTATACTATATTTTTATTGTTAAACTATGATTAAATTTGATCATTTAAAAATGATAAGAAAATAATATAAAGATATAATTTTAAAATTTTAATAAAAATTATGTATAAATTTAATAAAATAAAAAATTATATTTTATTTTTTGTATTGACACAAATTATTACATATAATTTTTATATAAAATACAATACGAATACATAAAATATTAAAATTTTATATGACAAGAATACATAAATTATTGATCTCATTTATAAAAAATAAAATAAAAACATTAACTTTACTCAACGAAATTTTTTTTTAATTTATTATTATTTTTATGTGAAAAAAAAAAGTATACAGAATAGATGATCTCACGTTATTTTTTAAAGTTATTTTTTCTTCATATTATGAAAGTTAAATTTACAATCATGTTATTTTCTTTTTGTGTATAATATTATTGGCAAGCAATAATTAATTAAGAGAAATTATCAAATACATTAATAATAGAATTTTTTTAACTTCACAAGTGGGATAAGATTGTAACACATGTCCTTATATATTTAAAATAATTAATTTAAAAAAAATAAAAATATATGTTATCATTTTAAATCCGTTTGTGGAGTTAAAAAATTTTACTATTAATATATCAAATAATTTTTTGTTAATTAAATAGTTAATTTATGTCATAAAAATTAATCTGTAAAATGATTCAAAGTTGATATCATATTATATATATATGTATGTATATATATATTCAACCAAAATTTTGATAATATCTTTTTAATGCAAAACATGTTTTTGAACTTCAACTATAACTCATATTAATTCTTGAATTTCTATATGTAATTGTGAAAAATAGTCTTCATAAAAATTTATATTTTTGAAAATATATTAATATATGTACGAAAAAGAAACTCCAAATCTAATATCAACCCAATTAAATGATTTTTTAAAATATATTTTATCTCAAAAAATTAGAAATATACAACTTAAGAGTTGTTTTCATAATTTTTTTTTTATATTTTTTCCTAAATTTTTAAATCTTTTAATTCAAAATGTTTTTCTTTTTTGTGTAAATGTAAATAAAACAATAAGAAACACACCAAAAAGCATATATAAAAAGTAGTGTACCCGAAAAAACTCTTAATATATCTCAAAAAATTAATCAATAAAATAATTACTTAAATACTCATTAATTAATTAATTTTTATCCTTCATATTATTTCTTAGTAAGTTATCAAAAATGAATTTTTAAAAATTTTTTTAATGTATTAAAAATTTATTTTTGAAAACTTTTTAACTTTACCAAAAATTTACTTTTAGAAAGCATTTTAATTATTTAAATATTTCAAAGAACTTTTTATATGTTGAAAAGGTTTTCGAATATTCATTTTCGAAAATCTTCAATAATTTTAGAAGATTTATTTTTGAAATACTCGAATTAACCTCTAAATTTTATTTTTAAATTTAAAATTTAAAATATTTTAAAATTAAATATAAAATTAAATGAAAAATAAAAAAAATAATTTACTTATAATTTTAAGTTATTTAACATTAAATGAATGACCAAAGCTTGATTTGAGAGTTAATCCTTGAAGGATTTAGGGTCTTCAACGAAGAAAATGACAGAGGGAATGAGATGTTTGAATTTTTTAATAAGTTAATGTTTTAATTTGAGAGGTGAAAAGAAATTAGAATAGGTGTTAATAGTAATGGAGTGTGAGGAAAGAAAGTAAGGTTAAAATTGCACTCCTTTAAAAAGTAAGTTCTCGCGGAAGAAATCCCATTGACTTTCTAGGTGCCTTGACTAGGAGCAGGAAACCGGTAAACAGCCGGTTGGCGGTGAAAAAGCTAGTGCACGGAACATGAATAGAGCCTGCAGGTGACGTGATCAATGATGGAGGGAGGGGGAGAAGCCTCGAAAAATAAATAAATAAAACAAGGGCAGTTGGAAGGGTGGGCCCACTGACAAGCACTTGACGGGCACAAATAGTGGTTCAAAAGTGGGGACCACTTCAGTAGGGTAATGACAGATACAGATCCAGCCACGTGGTATCTCGCTTTTAGTTATTTTATCTTCGTGTATAATTGTTTCCACCAAACTGGGCAAGAGCGGAGCATTACGTTCGGCGGATATTAAATTATGTTTGATTTGATTTTTTTTTTGAAGAATATATAATATTATAAAATTTTTTAATTTAATTTAAATTTAAATGAAATTTTCAAAAAATTGTTTTGATTAGGTTTATTTATTTTTGAATTTTAATTTTTAATTTTATAATATATTTAAATATAAAATAATTATTTTATTTTATAAAATTTAAAAAATATTAAAATTAATAAAAATATATAATTTGATTTGATTCAATTCAAATATTTTTTTTATTTAAAGTTTGATTCAAACTTAATAAAAATAATTAATATTTAAATTTAAATCACATTAAATAAAAAAATTAATTCGAATCATATCAAATATTACGATTTTAATTTAATTTTTAATTTTTTTAATTTTCTTTTCGTCCTTAAGTGAAAGCAACCCCTTCACTATTAGGGTTGACATCGGGTCGAGTTCGGGGCGGGTTTTGCTCAGCCCGAACCCAATCCTACTCGAAATTTTTTTTGTTTTTTCATACTCAAACCCAACCTCGACCTGATACTATATAAATCGTACTTGACTCGATCCGAAATTAATAAAATATTATTTTTTAAAATATAAAATATTATTTTTTAAATATAAATATTTAAAAATATCATTATATAAATATATATATATATAAATAATTAAATAATTAATTAAAAAAATTTTTTTATATAATATCGAGTCGGATTTACTTAAAATCCGAACTCGACCCGACCTCGATTGTTTCCTAACCTTACCTTACCTGACCCGACCCGACTCAAAACTTGAATTTTTTAAAAAAAAATTCGATCTCAAAGGGTCGGGTCGGGTCGAAACCCATCGGGGATGGATTGGATTGCCGACCCTATTTATAACAAATCAATTTTGTTTTTGCACTTTAAATTAGAATTATAAGCTTAGGCAATTTTTAATGTAATATTATTTATTTTATTTTTTTTATAAAAAATACAGCCTAAAAAGATTAAAAAGAAAAAAATTATAATAATGAAAAATCAAATTTCATTTTTGTAAGAATCCGTCTTCTAAATTAGGTGAATGATATTATTTGACAATAAAATAAGTCACAAACGATACAAAACTAAAAAAAATTATAAATATTTAAAATTTAGCTTTTATGAGTAATCACTTCTCCTTTTTTTTAGTATTAAATCTCCTATTTTTTGGATAAAAAACTCTCTTTCACCTTTTTTCCATTATTTTTTTGAACTCCAAAAGTCACTTGGATCTTGACACAAAATTATATATTCAAGAACCTCATTTTCATTTTTTGGAAAAATAAAAAGAGATGCCATCATTTTAGATGACCACTAAGCTCCAATTTTTTAACTTAATATGAATTTATTAAATTTTAAAAAACTTAAAAAAAAGTAAATTTATGATATAGGGTTGAGTCATTTCTTACTAGTTTATATGGGATAAAATAAAAATATTAATACAAAAATTATGTGAGCTAACTCAAGTACATTTACTCTTATTTTTAGTGCAATTGATCTATTTTCATATGATTATCATTAGTATTTTTCAAATCAATTTATAGCCTAAATCCCTTCAGGTGTTGATTTGTCATATTTTGAGTGGATGGTCAACATTCAAGCCAATTTAGACTTATTAAGTTATCCTTGACCTTAGTGCTAATCTTGAGCAGTCTAAATTGTCCAAAATCTTTCATCCTACATGTATAAATAACATATCATTTTAATATTTTACTTTACTTACATTTTTTTCTTATTTACTACTTTGACCGATCTCTAACTTAAGTGTTGAAATACAAGCACTGAAATCACTTCCCGCCTTTATCTTTAAATGCTCTCTTTCTTTTTTTCTAATTTCATAATTTTACTTATCGAAAATAACTCAACACAATAATATATATATAATTAATAATCATTTCTTTTGTTTACTCATATTTGGATTTTTTCCCTAAGTAAAACAATTTGTTATGTCAGCAAATGAATCAAATTTAGAAGAAAAAAAAAAAGCCTAATGTGAACTTGTAGATTCAGGTCGATTCAATATGTCAGCTTGATTAAAAAACTAAAAAAATATCTCTGATTGATTGTTGACTTTCTCTAATGGAAGAAAATGTCTATTTTATTCTTTAAATCTAAAATTACCTCTAACAATATATATTTATTTAGATGCCATTTCTAGACCAACTTAAAATAATAAAAAAAATTCATCTAAAAACCTAACCTTTTCCCTAGAGAAAAAAAAGGAAAATACTTTTTTTATCAAAAAAGAAAAAGAAAAAACTTTTTTTTACATAAAATAGCATTATGCTCTCTTTTGGTGTTTTTCTTTTTTATATTCATCTTAATACATTTTTAATCATTATTTTGTATAGA